AATTATTGGCATATCGAAGAGCCCATGAGATCGCATTCATTATCTGAGATTTCTGAGTTATCGAACAAGAAACATATGAAAGAGTAGCTGATCTTCTAACCACATTCATAATGTTATTTTGCTCATGTTGGATATTTGGACGACCTTCGATGATCAATTGAATATTATTTGACTGAAGACCAGATTGACGCTTAGTAATCGCTCTGACAAGAGTACTGTCGAATGTTCGGGCATGTTTAAAGACAACACGTTCAGTTGGCATATCATATTGAATTGAATAAGTGCCAGTCTTGGTCATATCATATACTGATGATAATCGAGCTTGAATAACTTTTGTTTGGCCAGGTGCCAGAGGGGTCATATCTTGAACTGTCGATTGACGTCGTTTCATCAGTGGACCTCGATAATCAACAAGAACATCATTGCACGTTACTTTGAACAATGGATCGTTTAATTCATTACTTGGTAAATACCAATTATAAATCGATATTGTTTCATTGCCAGTGTTACTATATTGTAATTGAACTATTACATCTTGTGTTTTATCAAACTTCGAGCGAACTGAAACTATTGCAACTTGCAAATCGCTTCCATAGATAGTAGGCACCATCATTGCGATTGCAATGAATAAAACAACATGTATTTGGTGCATAGTTATTCAACGTTTCTTAATCTACCTGTACGTTAATAGCTAGTTTGTGCATGTAGAAAAATATGCTGCCTTGAATTTATATGCAACATGAGTTTGAACGCAATAATAAGGTACAATTATTTTAGGTATTCGGGTTTATTTTACACGACAATTGTAACCACGTTTGCACAACTGGTGCTCATGCTATTAGTCGATTTAAAAGCAATACGCAACAATAGAATATTTTCTCGAACTGCGAGTACATCGGTGATGTGATTATCGTGCAAAATAGTCATTGACGAAAGACGTAAACAAATAGAAGAAAAAACAACAAATATATTACATGATCAAGGACGAGTTAGTACCTGCAGGGTGAAAAAATATCTAACGTCAATTAGAATCTGTTTCGTCATATGCACAAACTCATGTAACTAATAAAGTAAAATAAAGAACATTATTTTCTGTTGTTTTTCATAAATAATGAATGTTATGTAATTATACTTTTGCGTATTTGTTGCACTTTAATGCATTATTTTTCAAAGAATGAAAACTTTCTATTAGTTCATTGGATTTTCAGTGCACTAATCTGGAAGTTCACCCTTATTTCTTTGCGACGTATTATGATGCGAAAAAATTTGAAAACAAAACACAATAAAATTAGTTGAAAATTTAAACGATTTCGATGCATTTTGATTGCATTATAATACGTTGCAAACAAATAATGGTAAAATCTCGAATATTTCATGGACATACAACGAAATAATGGGAAGCTTGTTTTATTATTTTAAAAGTAATGCATTTAAATGCTTTAAACAGGTTACTTTCGTTCATTATTTATTAAAAAGTAATTCGAAATAAGGTCTATTATTTTAAAGAATCGGTAAATAGGAAGTTACTTAGACATGGACCTTTCATCATTCGAACAAACGATATTCATGACATCCTTCTATATCATTCCTTTCGTTATCTGTGACTTTGATTAGTTCATTTTCATTTTGTGAAATAATTGACCATACAACTCTTCGTATTAATGTGCGAACTATGGTTGTGTCGATTACCCTAGTAGAAATACTCATCAGACGAGTACGACTTACCAGCATGAGTAATCGAGAAATTTCATGTGTAATTATACTTTTTGTGTATACTACTGAGTACTCATATGATTTGTCTCTCTAAGATCTACTCGTGGACGGAACGATAAGTACTCAATGTAGTACTCCTCCTCGTATTTAACGAAAACATTTAACAAGACATTAATGCACTAGTATGTACGAAAATGGAATCAAGTTGTTTGAAAAAAAGAAACGAAAAATAATTTAATCAAATAAAAATACAGAGAAATTATTTTAATTACTTATCTATTTTATCTTCCACTCTTTTCTGATGAGTCATCGATACTGCTACAATGAATGAGTATTTAAAGAATAGAAAAACCACTTTATATTTTCAACTGTTCATTTCTTGAGTATGACTAAATACTTATTTAAACATGTAAAGGATAATTCGTTGAATTTCATTCCCGCAATTTTCGATGAAGTATCGTTTTAGATTAATATAGAGTATTTTCAGATTAATAGTGAAGAAGGTTAATGAAATGGAAGGCGAATAATAAATTTTGCTGCAAATCGATTAGAATTCAATATTGTGAATGTACACACATTATACTGAAGGCACTATATTTATTTATTATTCATTTTTTATACTTAACTAAATGAAATCTAGTTGTCAGTCGAATATATCTGTTTTTTTTCGTAATGATCTATACTATACTATTAGTGTTTAAGCATATCTTAATTTCATCAACAATTTATTACTTGTTTCTCCGTAGTGATTTGGTGTTGCTCTCGATACCTGTTTTTGTTTACTATTTTTTCACTTTCTCAAGATGATAAGTTTATCTCCACACTCAATTTAAAAAACATCAACATTTTAGCATTTTCATTTCTTAAATTTTCATAATGTATCTATGGTTTATAATTAATATTATCATTAAAAAAAATAGATATAGTATAACAATAATGAACAGAATATGAGTCTATGAGTATTTTACAAAAAGCCACTGGAGTGCACAAAAGTTGTACCATGATGACTCGCAAACAAGTCGATTTTACACAGGGACTCTTCGATTGTCGTACTCAGATACTCAGGTTCTACCACAAGTACTACTAACGAGTACTCGTGGCATTTTGTAGCATGAGTACTTTTTCGAGTACTATATTGATGAGTACATTCGCCAGGGTATACATATCTACATCCACCCCTTATGAAATATAACCAAATCAGTTGTTTTTCACTCATTTACGACACCCCCTTTTTCTTTTCTACGCATTCACTCATCGTCCAATAGTCATAAAAATTCGTCATTGAGACAAAAGTGCGTCGCCGTAGCAAACGTTCAGGTAAAACAAAAATTTTACTATTTTTATGGAAGAACCAAAACATTTCTTCATCAAGAGAACTTCCAGTACATATACGCCATCCAATACATCTCTACAAACAACAGAGAGAAAGAGAAACAAAAAAGAAAACCAAAGACTCGCATAAATATGCACACGACAGGTATATGGTAGAAGGGAAAGACGTAGATATACGCAAGAGAACGACAAAGAAGAAAACGAAAAAAACAATTAAAAAATGACTACTTGATAGAACCCTATCTAACGTTAAGCATAACATATTTTAATCTAACATCGATGCTAAAATTAATTATTGAAACTGCGAAATTTCATACATAGGTAAAACTGTATGAGAACCGTTCAGAAGATTCCATGAACATGATGATAATCAAAACCCGAAGAAACATCTATATCTTGAAAACTATCAAATTAGCATGGATCAAACGCAAATAATAAAGGAAAAAAGAACAGATTGAAACTTTAAAAGGAAATTAAATGAAATCTGCTCCTAAACAATACGAACTTACTAATAATCATCCAATTAATTGGATCCATCTGAAGGTCATCACGAAAAATACAAAACAATATCTATTATTAGAATAAGAGTCCTTAACCATTGTTATTCATCAAATCTACACTAGATAGAATTGTTTACTCTGTACAACTTAAAATCTATCCAGAAACTGTACAAACCGTGATTGATGCACTAGCATGGAGGCACATGATCAATATTTTGAGCACTTATTACAGTGATTTCGTCCATTGTAGATGCATCCTTCAGGCTTTTGCTTGAAAGAAACATGGATGTTTGCTTTTGTTCTTTTTTAAACGATTATTATCCTTGTGAATCATCATCGAATATATTGGTAATCATAGCAGAATTGTAGACATATTGGTACAAAAAAACCAAATTTATCTATTGATGAAACTGTGTATTAAATAATAATATAATAAAAAGCGAAAATCTCATGAAATGATTCAAAAATCTAAAGTTGCTATATAACGTTTCATATTTATTTTTAAACTTTTGACCCAAAAAAATTAAATTACATTTTCTTTGTACAAAAGGAAATAAATAACAGATCAAATCGTAAGCATTCTTCACACAAAACTACTACATCTTAGTTAAGTTTATATTCATCTCGATTTCTCAAACGAACAGCACTGTTCAAGGACTGAGAAATAGGAATTTCTAATCTGCCGAGGAATTATCCGTGCCACTGTGATAATTTCTAGTGGCAATGGGAATCGACCGTTGATTCCCTCACAGTTCCACCATTCACGAAAGTCGCAATATTGCTTTTTTAAAAATAATTTGTGCACGGAACTATTGATTCTCACAATTTTGCAGGTGAAAATGAGTCTAAGAAGAAAAATTATCGTGAATATTCCATATTTTTACTTTTAGTATGCAAAGAACTGTAGAGGAACTGAGGAGGAATTCCTAACTCTGAGTCCTTGGACACCCCTCATTCTATATATTCGTCGCTGTTACAAAGATACTCTTCGGTAGTTAAAGTTCAAGGAAAACAAAAAGTTTTTCTTTCTAAGAAGCTAAAAGTTGGTATATTAAGAAAACATCAGCTAATCGCATATCACTCAAGCCATTTTCATACAAACAAGAGAGATAGAGAGGATGAGGAAAGAAACATAAAGATTCACCTTGATATACATGGAATGAATAGATGTTCCATGAGAGCGGCATTGAAATATACACAACAACAACGAAGAAGAAGATGAAGTAATAATAGAAAAACATGAATATTTGCTAGAGTGCTCTCTAGCACACTATATTTAAAGAATCTCAATCTAATTTCGTTGATGAAATCAAATTATTCTAATTGTGAAGTTTCATGCATAGGTAAAACCATACGATAATGATTCAGAAGATTTCATGAAGACGATGTCCATCTAAAAAAAGATACATTTACATCTTCACACCTATCAACTTCAACATTTAATTAAGTTGATTTATGTAGATCAGACAAAACTAAAGACAAAAATTACAATATTATGATAAAGAAGAATACTTTGACACTGTAAAAAAAGATAGCAGTCAAATAGAATCTGCTCCTGAAAAACACGAACTTATGATGAAACTATCCCAACTGACTCCAAGCTTTCGTATTTCTCTTTCCATCATAAATAGATTTCAATAGAACGAAGAAAATCATAAAATAGTTCGTACTTATGGCTCTTGGTTTCCAAGACATGATTACGTTTATGTCGTAAAAAGAAGGGATTCTCTCATTCTTGAATTTACAATGCATGTTTAGTTATTAGCTTGGAGCTTAATATATATATATATAATGGTTTGATAACAGTCTTTGAGCTATGCAATATCGGAATTCTCAACTGAACTGAATAGTAAACCATGAAAGCTTCAGTAGGAACAATCTTTCAACGTGACACTAAGAAAATTTGAAACAGTATTTAAAGTACACATATGAACAAAGAACTTTAATGGTACACCATTATGAAAAAAACAAATAAAAGCAGCAGTTAGACACCTCTATTCTTCGCACAGAGAAGAATCGAACGAGAAACAAGCTCCTATAACATTAGTAAAATTACCAGGATGATTCT